CGCGCTTCAGGACATCAGTAGAAGCAAATTAAATACGCCGTCATTTTTGCTCATAAAGGTAAGAATAATACATTGTTCGGAACTGTAAAGGGTCTATTTTTATTTGTGTGCACTCACAATATCAAGAAAACGTTGTGCTTTTGTAAAATAAAGAAAACAAATAGGATGCGCTTGCCGTCTCTGTCTTGAACAGGAGAGCTTCACAAAAATGCACCGAAACTCAGTGAATATTTTCCTTGCAGACTTGATGAATATATCAATAGAAAGCTTTAAATGACCTATTCAGCGCGCTCACATCACGTTACTGTGCGCCATGGTCATGAAAACTCATCATTTGCATGTGTTTTTAAGCATTGTGGTTTAAAAACAAGTTGTTTAAGCCATTGAAATGCAAATAACAGCACTATATGCGAGAGCTGTCTGTTTCTGAGCGTGATTTCTGCAATTGGGTCGGATCGAGGTCGGGTCATATTCACAACTTAAACGAACCGAACCAGAGTTCGTTTGAAAGCGGGCCGAGACCACCTCTTCAGCTGGGTCTCGGTACGGTTGTTTGGTCCGCACCAGAGTGCGATTGCTGTATTCACACCTGCCAAAAAGGTCCACACCAAGAGGGGAAATTAACTTGAGTTTGATTCAATCGAACCAAACAAGACGGGTGTGAATACACCCAAACATATTTTATTAAGTTGTGTTGGCTTGCGTTCTCTTATGAAATTATATTACTGAGGACACTCTAGAAGAAATTTTAAATCCGGAATCCATTTTAGAATTTTTATCTAAAGCAGACTTCAAAGACCTGATTTAGTTTTTTAAAATTGCTCTTTTATACTATTTCAATATTATTTTTATACTATTACTCACTATGAAAACAGCCAAGGGAGCTGGCATGGCATTAAAACACCAACCAACCAACAGTCTTTCATAGTGCATTTTAAATGTATAAAGTCATTTTGGTAACACTTTATTATACGGTCTCCTTGTGTAAATGTATTTACGATAGTAATAACAATAAATTATGCATATTTACATACTACTAACCCTAAACCAAACCCTCATCCTAACCCTAACCACATGTAAATACATGTTGTTAATTAATATTACTTGGTACTTAAGGGAATAATTACACTGTAACAAGGACATCGTAAAATAAAGTGTAACCAAATTTTTCGGTCTTGTTTACAGTCATCAAACTGTATGCATATATTGGTATTATATACCTGTCCACTCTCAGGCACGGTCTAGATATGTTTATTGGCATTGGGTTTAAAGAGATACATAATGGTTGACCATTAGAATACATGTTGAGATATCATTTTTGTCCAGGTCATTTGTGCTCACTGAACTCTCGGTTTGAATGTTGCTCTCCTGCTATGCAAACATGGCACAGTGTTCAATAGATTACTGTAGCAAATGTTACTGTAACAATCCAGATGCTAAGTGCAGGGAGAGCTGTATCCTCGTCACACAATATGAAATGTGCCCTGTCAGTGAATTCTCACGATGGTTTCTAGCAGTAAATAAGGCTGTGTAAAGTCAGATTGTTCTTGCATGGTAACATAGGGAGTTTTGCAGCAAAGTGGGTAATGAAGATTCACTTGAATAACTCACTGTAAAATGTAGCATGGTTTTTATGTGATTTGATTTCCCTCATAATATCTTCATCACTGCTCTTTGAATAGAACAAACATGAAGCATGCTAAAGGATGAGGGCCTGTCCTCTCTTTTGTGGTGCATTGTTAAAACAAGGCAAGATGCAACTGCACTGTATTTCAGCAAGAGAGAATTTAAGTGCGTTTCAAACCAGCACTATAATTGAGATGGTTTTGGTTCAGTGAAGCTTCCATTGTTTATCACGGGGTGTTAATTGAGACCTTTAATAAAGATACTAAGAGGATACTTGTCTAGTGATGCACACAGAAAGTTCTGCTCTGCTCGCATACATGTGGGCAAATGTATATATCGGGTGACATTCTTTTTAAATGTCACCCAATTATTAAATGAGCATACTGCTCTGTGCATATACTGCCAGACAGATGTTTTTCTCATTTTAAAAAACACACTGACTGAGTGGCGTGACGTGTGGCCAAGTATGGTGTCTGCATTTAACCCATCCAAGTGCACACACACTCAGCAGTGAGTAGTGAACACACACACACACACACACACCCCGTGAACACACACCCGGAGCAGTGCGGCATTTTTGCTGCGGCGCCCGAGGAGCAGTTGGGGGTACAGTGCCTTGCTCAAGGGTCTCACCTCAGTCGTGGTATTGAGGGTGGAAGAGAGCACTGGTCATTTTCTTCCCCCTACCTATAATTCTTGCCGGTACCGAGACTCGAACCCGCGACCTTTGAGTTACAAGTCCGACTCTCTAACCCAAGGGGTGGCCAGCGTCGGTCCTGGAGAGCCACAGTCCTGTAGAGTTCAGCTCCAACCCTAATCAAACACACCTAAACATGCTAAGCAAGGTCTTGGGTCTAGTAGAAAGCAACAGGCATGTGAGTTTTAATCAAGGTTGAAGCAAAATTCTGCTGGACTTATGGCTCTCCAGGACCGACGTTGGCCACCCCTGCTCTAACCATTAGGCCACGACTGCACATTTGTTTTGCAATATTATGGAGCATGATATGGAGACAAAAATAAATTGTGGCCATGAATTAAGAATTTGTTCCCTCATTTAATTAAATTGTTGTTGTTCCCTCTTTCTAAGTAAATCAAATAGAGGGGACGAATTGGTACAACTTGGCTACTATTTACTAAAATGAGGAAACAAAATTGTGTGTATATATTAGTGTTGGGGCGATAGACGATGCCATCATCCATCGCCGATGGCTGACAGACATCACGGTGTTAAGCTGACATTGTGATATCCCCCCCTCCCCTCCACCACCCCCTCTCCCGCAATCGGCCGCATCCATGAAGTGTACTACGGAAACCCTAAAGGGAATAAATAGCCTACGAGATGAGAGGATACAAAAAAAATGTCAATACTTTTCATCGCAATTATATCGTTGGGTAAGTATAGGCTACTGTATATAAATTGCGGGCATCAGGGAGCCGCTATTGAAACCGCTTTCGATTGCGCGCTCTCATTTTACTTTCACTTTCACTTTTGAGATTCACGATCACAAGGACTCTATACTATGGAGCGGCAGTACTTACCACACATTTGACAAGATTAGATGTTTGTCATTGGTGCTCAGGATTAGCAAATCATTCGCTATCGTCCTATCAGATATTTCTCCTTACTCTGTGTATGTGGTAAGTGAACTTTCATGTACTGTAATGCAACAGGCTACCGCTAGCAAGCGGCTAACCTTTTAGTGGCTCGTATAACCCCTGTTTCACTGTAGACATCGTCTGATGCCAATTTGGTAGACAACGCCCAACCCTAGTATATATACAGTATATATATTTTATATATTTATATACATTTTATTTCACACATGTCATGCAGGGATTAAACAGGCATGTGCACTGTCTATTCACAGAATGAAAATCTTAAAATGTTCAAATGAATATCATGATTAACCTGAAAAGGATTTTTTTTTAAACCCATCCTTGGCAACGACTAAGCCATTTGTAGGTTTTTTTCCCTCAAAAAGTATAAACATTTAAAAACCTTCCTAGTTTATTTGAGCTTCCCGACCAGCCCAAGACAGCAATGTTGGCTGAATTGATGTTGTGAATTTGAGATGGGACTGGCTCTGTTTATCTGGAGGATTGCTCAAGAAACTTATCATACATTGTTTAGTGAGGCTAGTAATGCAGAAATTACACACTTGATCTTTAAGTTTAGTTTGTCTGCTGTTTTTGTCCCTGTCAGTATCTTGAAGCCTCTGTGGATTTTTAGGTGTCTCTGAACACCATGAGCTAACAATACAGCACATCCCTGCTTGAAGAGCAGATGGCTAGACCCTGTTTCTCCTTGAGGGAAATTATTGATCCATTCGGCCCAGCCTCTCTTCACAGTGTCCCTCTGATTGATGAAGCTGATGAACTTGGGAGAGAGACCTCCATTTTGATTTATCCCTTGCAGCACGGTTTAAGAACATGGTTGAGCAGAGGTGAGAACAGAAAGCGTTAGTCCGATCAAGATCAACGTCTACCAGAATGTCCAGAGCTGACCAGCTCAGACCAGAAGAGAGAGTGATTACATAACTGAAGTGATGTGTTCTGTGGACACACTGCTGACCTTGCCTCATCATATGTTCTCTCAATATTGTCCATACCATTGTTCATGTCACCTTCAGTATGGTGTGCATTATGGAACTTATGCAAAAAAAAAAAAAAGACTTGATTGTTCATGTGATGGAATCTGCATTTTTTTCTTCTTCATATCTTTGGATTTAAATACAGTACTACTGTTTGTAGATTAAAGCATTAATAAAATCAACCAAAATATTCTATAAGAGTTGTATAAGACTTTGACATTCTTGGGAAATCTGTGGTCACAGATCGTTAAGGTTTTTGTTTTTTTGATTGATATTGTCTATTTAATTGTGCATGCTCATTTCTCCCATTTCCCACCATTTTTAAAATTAACTTAAATTACTAAACTAAAATTAAAGTTAATGTTTAAAACACCTATTTAAATAGCAATTATTAAATTAGCAAATGTTAAAAATGAATATCCATTTTCATACTGTATATTATAATGTTGCGCCCAAATGCACTTAAAACAATTGATTTTATTTCTTATCTTTCTCCATTTATCAGTTCAATTTATCATATGCATAAGTATCATGAAAATAATTGTTGCCTTTTCGGTATATCCAGGTTTGTAATATCGGTGTATCTCTGTTGATTATAAATAGTTTTTAGTGTAAGATCCAAATTTCTCATTAAGCCAATCTTTGCTACATTGTCATTATATATATATATATATATATTTTTTTTTTTTTTTTTTTATATATATATATATATAAATAAATGATGAAGCTCAGCGATATTACAGATGATTGTCACTTACAGATGATTTCTTCTGTCTACTACAGATTATGTGTATTTTGAAAACTCCTCCAGTAACCCGTATCTGATTCGCAGAATAGAAGAACTTAACAAGGTAAGGTTAAAACTTATGTTATATTCTGTCATAATTTTGGATACAAAATATTGTGCATGCTTCCATTTTGATGCATGCATTTACCTATTTTTGAGCAGTATGGCTTATAGTGCCAATATAACAGCATCCATAATTATTCTGACGTGTCACCATTCTTACAGCTTAGAGTCAGACTGACTGTGATTGGTTGGGTCTTTTGATGTCCACCATACATCATCAATTGCATGTGCAGAGTTTTAAACATTACACTGAACATGGATGATTGACATATGCCAGCTCTCTGCTAATGCATTGTCACTCATGACAGCGGAACAGACTGTCTCTGTCACCTGCTCCCCTCTGTTGTGCATTGCTAATGCTCAGCCATCATGCTTTTGTCTACCGATGCACGCTGGGCTGTTTGAGATGAAGATCCTGCCGTAAGAGACTTATATAATGCTGAGAATGACACAGGCCTGTTTCCTGGAGCAGGGATTAAAACACTTTTATGTAACTTCATTTTGAAGGGCTATGAAGCTCAGCAGGATGGTTAAATTAATGGAAGTGGTCTGTGTTCAATATTGTCAGAATTTAGTCTTGAAAATAAATACACACACAACTCTAACCCAAACTGTTGCATTAATGAGCAAGATGTGATTTTCATTTCCATATAGAGTGGTTCATTTTCAGTTCTGGAAAATGAGTAGAAATGTAGTTATTAATAGGGCTCACAACTTCTTACTTGGCAGCTTAAATATTGGTGCACTTTCATTTAAATCATAGGCGGTACTGTTCAGTCCCACTCTTGGTGAAAGTTTACTTTAAAAGTTAAATTATGGGTTTTTAACAAGTCCATGACATGAAGACAGTAATGGCACTTAAAGCTCTTACTTCACACATTGTATAGAGAAAATTACTATAAGTGTGATCTTTTTATGAATGGTCTTTCTCACACTGTTTATCTTTGCATGTCTCCCCAAGACTGCCAATGGAAATGTAGAAGCCAAGGTGGTCTGTCTCTTCAGACGGAGAGATATATCTGCCAACCTGAACACTCTGGCCGATAGCAATGCAAGTGAGTACACAACTTTTTCAGTCTCCTCCAGTTCACACCTCTAGTGTCACTATGTAGATTTACTATTTGCAGTGAAACACTAACTAGGATTTACAGCTTTGAAAGCCATTGGGAGCAGCAATTAAGGCACCAAAGAGGATCAATCCATGCATAAATAAGTCATACTACTTGCATATTATATGACCTTGCATTTTATGTATCTGAAGTCTTCAGTCTGAATGTAGAAGCAGATCTCTGCAAGAAAAACTTAAAGCGTTAGTTCACCCAAAAATGAAAATTGGCTTGTTTTACTCGCCCTCGAAGCAAAGGTGAGCCTAGGTGTATATGACTTTCTTCTTTCAGATGAATCCAGTCGGAGTTATATAAAAAATTGTCCTGACTATTCCAAGCTCTATCATTGCAGTCAGCGGGTGTTGCAGTTGAACAGTCCACAAGTTATCAAATAAAGCGCGCGCATTCATAATAAAACGTGCCTCGCACGGCTCCGGGGGGTGAATAAAGGACTTCTGTTGTGAATCCATGTGTTTTTGTAAGAAAAATATCCATATTTCAAACATAATAAACACTTTTCTCTCACTTCCAGTATCTGTCATACGCGGAAGCCGTTCCGGCGGATGGCGTAGCTAGTGGTCAAGGCCGATATATATATATTTTATATATATTTTTCAAATATCGGCTTTGGCCGATAAGTTTTTCTGTTTGGCCAATGTGTTCCAGGTGGGACTTTTATTTTGACGGCGCCGTCAAAATAAAAAAGAACGGCTGCGGCAGCGCCTGAGCACACAATGCTCACATTCTCCCTCTTGTTCGCTGTTGTCATTCAGTTCTGTCTAATACGGATAGAAGTCTATCTAATAATCAGATAGAACTGTTAAACAAAGAAATTAAAATGTATACAAAAAAGTATTATAACGATTGCTTTTAATATTATTAAAGGCAAACATTATAGTACTTTCTCGTTTGCCGTCAGCATTCCACAAATACACATATATATAATTTAAACAAATCTTTGAATGACTAATGAACATTTAATTTCACAAACCTTGCAGGCTTAGTCGAATCTAGTTGAGATCTTGTGAAATGTGCATGTGACCTGCATGATCGCGTGTTCTGTGACGGTCGAATACGAATTGAATCCGGACAGGAGGCGAGTTCAACTTCACTGGAGACGCGCGATCGACAAACTCGTGACTGATTTCAAATTATGCTGCGCTTTATGCATTTGCCCACTGTCATATTCGTGTAATTTTCACTGTGTGCTGTATGTAAAATGAGTGTTACCTTGGCTTTATTTGGAAAAATATTATTCCCAATGCACACAAACTTCCCAGAATACTGAGTGCCCTGTTGGTTACAGTGTTTACTTCCTTTTAAATTATATTTGTATTAAATATTTATTTATTTGTGAAAAATACTTTGTCTTCTAGAGTATAAGTGTGTTTATTTTACATGTTTATTTTTTTAATCCATTTTCAAATGATTTCAAATTTCTTAAATATGAATTAAAATTAAAAAAATTATATCGGCTTTATATCGGTCATCGGCCAGCCTGCTTTCCAAGATATCGGCATCGGTATCGGCTGTCAAAAAAACCCATATTGGTCGACCACCAGACATAGCACGTCGTCGTTGCGTGATAAGTGACGAACGCGGAGAGACAACAAAACAAAACGCCGGTCACGAATTAGAAGTACAAACCGAAGATTTGCAAAGAAAAATGCTAAAGTAAGGAAACTTTGCTTCCTTTGCTCCTATAAACAAACTCGCGAGACTAGCATATCTCAGAGGTGCGCGTGCTGCGCATACGTCATGCACCTTCCGCCGGAACGCCTTTTGCGTACTACAGATACCGGAAGTGAGAGAAAAGTGTCTATTACATTTGAAATATGGATATTTTTCTTATTCAGCATGAGGGAAATAACAGCAACCTGTGACTCACATGAGATTGCAGCAATTAGCAATCTTTTATTTCATGCATAATTTATGGTAACATTTCTCAGTGGAGTAGTACTAGTCTCTTGTATTGATGGTTGAAAGTATAATCGAATTATACAAAATATTTACTTTACTAAAGGGCAGTGTATTTGCAGAATGTTTTGAATTGTGTGAATTTACATTCTTTAGAAATCTGCCGAGCTATCTATGCAGGTGCAAAACAGAAGGACACCAATCTACACAACAAGCAACAAACCTAGATCACTTCCATTATAATTAGGGATGGACAGATTGGTAGACCAATTATGCAACAGTAGATTTTGAGTTTTATTTATTTTTTTATTTTTTTTACAGCCATGCATTTAAGTTTTCTGAGATGTTGCATCACTAAATTTGAAATACTAGTTTTTTTTTTTTTTTTTTCTCATATACCCCAGACAATCCCCAGGATTTTTTTATTTAAAACTATTTTTTTTTTTTTTTTTTTTTTTGGCATTTACTCCCTGACTTAATATCACATAGTTTAAGTAGTGTTTTGGGTATTATGTGTAATCCTTTTTTTTTTTTTTTTCTCCAGAGGATTGTTTTATGCAATAACAGGCTACAGATATTTAGCCATATATATTATATTTGTTAGGTATATCTGTCAGTTGTCCTATTGAAAGAACTTGCATTCTTGGATTCAGTTCACGCAATTGTTGGTTTCTGCACACATACAGATAATTGTCCATTGCGTCTCAACACAAACTCAACATCTGAAAATGTCTGGAAACTAATGCCCACTGTTATGCTGTAGGTTTTGACAAAGTCCTATGTGAGCACCCTCTGAGAAATGCATCTGATAGGGTTATTTTGAGACCGACCACCTGATTAGTCATTCAGACAACCCACTGACTAGTCGATTTTGAAAATATGTAGTTTTGCACATCCCTAATTTTTTATATAACACAACTGCAAACATCCCACATGTCTGATAAAGATTTTTCATCTCACCTACATGCCTGAGGTAGTGGTTCATTTATATGTACATGAACCTGTTCCCGCATTTACCTAACAATTCCAGAGTAGGGTCAGGTTTGGGTTGAGGAGGTTGTATTGCGTTGACATGGGCAGGAGTTAGCATTCAAATCCTTTGCAGTCATGAGAGGTCAATGTCTACTTGGCCGCCCGTTTAATTCTGAACCTATCCTCCTCTGTGTCGTGGCACTCTACAGCACCTACACTGTCCTGTTACACAAGATCGGGGTTCCCATTTACATCACGTCCTCCCTTCTCTACCTTCTACCCATCTTCCTCCTTCCCCTCCCTGAATGGGCTCTTCTGTGCTTATCCTCAGCTGCCATCCGTCCTGTGCTCTCAGAACAAAAGAGCCTTCATAGGACCCACTGGGCCACGGTGCTCAAAGGGCTAACATTAGGTTAACACTGTCTGGCTGCTGTCTTTGTCAAGGAGCTAAAGTGTTATTAAATGCATATATGCGTGTGCATGTTTGGCTCTGAGAGTGTGCAAGTATGATGGATTTGTCGTACGTGTGTCTTGAGTGCTCGTCTGCTTGTGCATGTGTGAAAGAGCTTGTGCCATTTTTTTTTTTAATGCGTACTTGTGCATGGGGGGTGGGGGGTGTTGTTGCTCAATGGGGGGATGGGCGCCTCAGGTTTATTGCACAGGGTTTCCCAGTAAAGCTGGCAGGGACGCATTGGCCAAGGGGAGAGAAAGGCGGGGGCAGGGCCACCGGGGTGGCAGGAGGGGTTAATGGGAAGGGGTGTGGTTTGATATCCCGCCCTCTTATTGACAGGGTTTCCTTTGGCTCTGTGCAGGGGTGGAGTCCAGTCAGATCGGCTGATAAAGTCCTGCCAAGTCACATGAGCATCTATTTAAGAAATATCTCCGTCTGCGTTGCAAATTGGTCATTAAAGTCATGTTTTTGAAATGCATCCAATTCAAGTCATGTTGAGTTGGACCTGCATCATAATAGTTTACTTTTCTTATAAGTCAACAGATCTCATGAGGGATATTCAATTTACTTGTATCTGAATGAGTGTGAAATTGATCACAACCATTACTAATAACCTAAAGTGATGTGTAAACTGTTAAGATTTGGTCTGTGTGTGTTCTGAGAGGAAGCTCGTTCACATCAGAACTAATTGAGGCCATTAGCATCACACTCATATGTTTGTGTGTGCATTTTAGGAGACTTTGAAGAGGAGTCGAAGCAGCCTTCAGTGTCAGAACAACAGAAACACCAGCTCAAGCACAGAGAACTGTTCCTGTCTCGACAGTTTGAGTCTCTCCCGGCCACACATATACGGTAAATACACTCACAGACACAAACATGTCTGGATTGAATGGTATTATCCCATCAGAGCCCAGACTAAGGCTCTGTAAATAAGGCATTTGATTTGTAGTGATAAAGTCCTATTTATACTGTGCATGCTTTCACTTAATGTTTTTTTTACAGAGGAAAATGCAACGTCACACTTTTGAATGAGACTGATGTTTTAACTGGCTACCTAGAGAGAGAGGTAAGAGTCCACCTGCAGTACAAGAGCACTCACTGTGCAGTTTATCATGGAGTGTCACAAAACTACCACCATCATTAAAGCCATGATTGAAAGACAGGCCATAATACGACAACGCTGTAAGAGTGAGTCTCATGAAATTTGTTAGAAGTTCTGTCATGTTTCTCCACTTAAATAAAAAAATAATAATTTGTTATGCATTAACCGAATGATCCGTTTAAGAACAGATGTTTCTTTTTGTATTGATATATTTCGTAAGATAATTTTTCCTCCAACTTACATTACTGTAATACAAAACAAATTCCAATTGATTTGTCATGGTAGTATTTGTAGTAATGAATTTACTTTTTTTTTTACTTTTTTGGGGACTGTAAAAGTTTTTAAAAAAAATTTGAAAGAAGTCTCTTATGCTCACCAAAGCTATTTGATCAAAAATACAGTAAAACCGGTAATACTGTGAAATATTATTTTAATATATTTTAAAATGTAATTTATTCCTGTGATGGCAAATCATAATTTTCAGCAGTTATTACTCGAGTCTTCAGTTTCACATGATCTTCTAGGAACAATTCCTATTATCATCAATGTTGAAAACAGTTGTGCTACTTTATATTTTTGTGAAAACCATGATATATTTTTTTCAGGATTATTTGATGAATAGAAACAGCATTTATTTAAACTTGAAGTATTTTGTAACATTATAAACACTGAATGAAAGTATTTAAAATCTTTCAAACAAAAAAAAGATGACTGACCCCAAATTTTGAACCGTATTGTACTTTTTATTTTTTATGTCAAGGGCAAAATAAAATTGTTAGATAAGTGAACACCTTTTGTTGATTTAAAATGGCCAACTGTGTGAAGTGTTTGTGTTTTATAATGTGTGTTTCTTCTGTAGGACTGTTTCTTCTACTCTCTGGTGTTTGACCCCGTGCAGAAGACCCTGCTGGCTGACCAGGGCGAGATCAGAGTGGGATCCAAATACCAGGCAGAGATCCCTGACAAACTGGCTGAAGGTCAGAAGGTTTTAATGTCTCTACGCCTTGTTGTTACTAAAACATGGTCGTTTTGTTGTTGAAAACTCCCATCGATTTCCAAGAAGCTCCAGTAGTGGCAATGTCAGACAACTGATGCTGAAACAGCTGCAATGTTTACATTGTGTCCTATTCACACATGATTCTCATCACAATATTGCATCAGTACTTCAGGACCTGGTATTGATATTTTCAGGACACATTTTAGGGAGAGATGTTGAAGGGCTAATTCAAAACCAATCATTAGTAAATACAATGTTTTCCACCTCATTAGGAGATTCCGACAGTCGAGTGCAGGAGAAGCTTGAGACAAAGGTTTGGGATCCTAATAACCAGCTGAAGGATCCTCAGATAGACCAGTTCCTGGTGGTGGCACGGTTAGTATTTCACTGTTCATTAAAATTGTGTATTTGCATTTTTATTGCGCAGCAGCATGATGTTAATTCAAATACTGTGTATTTTAGGGCTGTTGGTACATTTGCACGTGCACTAGACTGCAGCAGTTCAATCCGCCAACCCAGTCTGCACATGAGTGCTGCAGCAGCATCTAGAGACATCACACTGGTGAGAGGACGGAAGCATCCAATCACTCTCTCTTCCTCAACTATTCACAAGAGCATTTAATTCACTGCCACCTCGCTCAAACCTCAGTTTTCATGCACATCTGACATTCACACTGTCCTTTCTGTCTATAGTTCCACGCCATGGACACTCTGCAGAAGAACGACTATGATCTCGCCAAGGCCATGTCAACGCTGGTGCCGCAGGGTGGCCCGGTGCTCTGCAGGGATGAGATGGAAGAGTGGAGCGCCTCAGAAGCCATGCTGTTCGAGGAGGCTCTGGAGAAATACGGCAAAGACTTCAATGACATTCGCCAAGACTTTGTGAGTTTAAAATGCTATACTTGAGCATTTGCTCTCACACACATTGCATTATTTGGGAAAGCTCAAGATTTAAATGAACATTTATTTGTTGTTGTCCTGCAGTTGCCCTGGAAGTCATTAGCTAGTGTGGTCCAGTTCTACTACATGTGGAAGACTACTGATCGTTACATCCAGCAGGTAACAAACTTTGCATGGTTTTTTAAAAACCCAAATAAATCTTGATATGTTAACATTTATGCATGCATACGAATGTTATTTAAAACATGTTTTTCTCACCAGAAAAGACTAAAAGCAGCAGAGGCTGACAGCAAGCTGAAGCAGGTGTACATCCCCACCTAGTGAGTATTTAATGTCACTGCACTTTTTTTTCTTTTTATGTATTCAAGTGGCATTTTCCAAATATATGCCACAAATTGGTGTCCCTTTAGTGTTTAGTTTCCCTTTTTTATTATTATTATTTTATAAATAAAGGCCCAAATCCTTTTTTTTTTTTTTAAACGGAGTGAATTTTTAAATAGATTACAGTTTTAAAGTTTGGGTTTCAAAAGATTTCATGTTTTTGAAAGAAGTGTCTTGTGCTCACCACGGCTGCATTTATTTGATTGTATTTAAATTAAATATAAAATTAAATAAAAAAAAATTTATGTAGTGAAATATTAGTACAAATATTAGTAAAATATTATAACAATTTAAAATAACTGTTTTCTATTTTAATATATTTCAAAATGTAATTTTTTCCTGTGATGGTAAAGCTGAATTTTCAGCAGCCGTTACTCCAGTCTTCAGTGTCACGTAATCCTTCAGAAATCATTATAATATGCTGATTTGATGCTCAAGAAACATTTCTTCTGATCAATCTTGAAAACAGCTGCTTAATATTTTTGTCGAGACTGTGATTCAAGAGTTTTATTGTCATATGTACAGGAAACACTCTGTTACACTATACAATGAAATTGTTACTCTGAGAATCCTCTAGCAGCCTGGACATCAATATGAGGACAAAAACCACAAGTACTCGATACAAAAGTTACACAATTACAAAAGTATTAGTGTAGTGTGTGCATATATAAGTGTGAATGTGCAGGGTAGACATATAAACGGTGTATATAAACATGTAAGCATACAGTATATTTACATGATATATAAAGCAACAATGTTCTGTAACATGTAAAAGTCTCTACTGTCAATTTTGATGAATGCATCCCTGCTGAATAAAAACAATAAATAAAAATAAAAAAATGTACTGACCCAAAATTTTTCAATGGTAGTGTTAATCTGTTAATGAACGCAAAATTAGCACAGAATGAAAAGTAGCTATTTACTTATATATTCTGTTGTATGTATACATTTTATGTTGGATAAAGTTTTTTTTTCTTCAACTTGTCAAAGTCTTTCCTGTAATACATTTTTTCCTGCTGTTGGAGAATCTGAATTTTGTTCTCTCCCTCAGCACCAAACCCAACCCCAATCAGATCAGTGCACCTGGAAGTAAACCTGGCATGAATGGTGCCACCGGCTACCAGAAAGGCCTCAGTTGTGAAAGCTGCCACTGTGAGTGAGCTCAAGCATTTAGATATAAGCTCAATTATTCCTTTGCGTTACAATGAATGAATTGATAAGTTTGACTTGCTACTCCTCCAGCTGCCCAGTCCCAGCAGTGGTACGCATGGGGCCCTCCCAACATGCAGTGCCGACTATGTGCAACCTGTTGGATTTACTGGAAAAAGTATGGTGGTCTTAAGACCCCTACTCAACTAGAGGGCGCCACCAGAACTGGCTCAGTATGTTAACCCTGTCTTTTTTGATGTTTTAAAATATTAAGGTTTAATGCATACAAAAATCAACGGTGAGAAATCTAGTTGGTTTCATTAATCATCTTGGTGGCTAAATGATTCAGGTCAGTCATTTTAAATGGACATGTTTTTATGCTAGATGGAGACAGAAAATTGCCAAATCGATTAATGAACATATATCTTTCCAATAGGATGCAGCTCCACGTGGTCACATGACTCGCCAGGAGGTACAAGGCATGTCCCCGTTTACCAGCAGCGCAGGGAGAGCTAAACTTCTGGCTAAAAATCGGCAGACCTTCATCCTGCAGACCACTAAACTCACTCGAATCGCCCGTCGGGTGTGCCAGGACATCCTGCAGTCCCGCCGAGCAGCCCGCCGCCCCTACGCTTCCATTAACTCCAATGCTGTCAAAGCAGAGTGTGAGAAGTCAATTACAACCATAAAAACATTTTTTTTTTTATGCAGTAGCATAAGCCTGTGTGCATTTTATCGCGATAGTCTTTTTTGACTGCTTCTTTTTCTATTTTAGGTATGATAAGACTTCCTAAAGCCGCAAAGGGTGCTATGAAGAACCGCCCTATTCCTCGACCGTCCCTCATCAATATAGTTAAAGAATTGGGTATGGCTTCAGTATTCAATCAAAACCAAAATAGGGATAGAAAAACATTATTTTAACATCAGAAATATAACACATCACTTTTAAGGCTGGGGAAATTGAGACATAACAGTGAATTCAATTGTTTGGCACTATGCTTCCTCAAAATACACAGGAGAAATATTTGAAAACTGATCATTTGAGTAATTGTGCTTGTTTTATTCTTCAGCTCTTCAAGCTCCTTTGAAATTGAAAGCTCCTCGAGGTGCTCCAACCCCTATCAACCGTAACCAGGTTAACCAGCCTCGGAGCACATCCGCTCTACTGGGCAAGAGGCCATTCGACAATGTGAGTATCACATACAAAGATACGGTAGAAAATAGTGTACACAGATCTTAGCTCTCTCATTGGCTGCAGGCTGGAGGTCTTTCTTTGTCCACCAATGGAAGACCGTTCGCATTGGGAATGAGAGCAGCCACCCAGTCAGTCATTAAGAGGCAGAAGGTCAGTCAAGGAGATGCTCCGAATCCAGTCGTGTTTGTGGCTACGAAAGACACCAGGTATGTTTCCAAAACATCTCATTGACATGTTTTTGCTTTTTTCCCTGAGACTAATTCCATGTGAATGTGGTTTACAGAGCCCTGAGGAAACACCTCACTCAGGCAGAGACGAGGCGGGCGGCCAGAAAACCACACCTCCCGGTCAAAATCAAACTTCCCGTGCCGCCCCGGCCGCTTCCCGTACCCATCATACCCTCCAGCACCAGTGAGCCAATCGTGTTGGAGGACTGAGCGATGTTCCAGTAGACCACATCCATTGCCAGAGCATGTTAAACCCGCCATCGTCAGCTGTTCTTCTTTATTCCTCTTCTTCTGTTGTCCCCCCAGATCCCATACGCACACCATGCTCACGTGCTCGGGATGATGACATACCACATACTCTTACACCAGCATACAACACACTTCATAGCGTTTTACTCCCAGTGTTATAGTTGCTGTCCCATTGCTTTTTTAAATTACAAATACTTTTAACTGTGTAATTTAAAGCAAATCATGTTCATTCTAAGATGGTGGAAAAGCACACTTTATTTTTCTCCAGTTCTGTCGTTGTTTGTATAAATATTAACAGGATTTTTTCAAGAGTTTGATTCTTGTGTGTATGGAAAATGGGATTTAAATGTGTGAGGGAGTACATGGTCTTGTTACCATCATTTTCTTAATTTCTTAGGTCGCTTATGTTAAAAACAAAAACCACCCTTTTTCATGCTGTATAGACAAATAAATGATTGCGCCTCTCTTTTTATTTCAGCCAGTACTTGTGGTTCTAGCCTTTCAGGCCTAGCTGAATTGTGGAAAGATGGTATCATGGAATGCATTGCAGCCAAAGTATTGTTCGCTATACAGCAGATCTGCAGTTGAGCTGGTTTATTGATGGCAACCTGGTTTCTCAGACTCAATATTGTTGTTGTTTTTTTGTGATCATAGATCCAGAACTCCTGCAGTGTAGCTACTCCAGTCAGTGATATTTGAAGGTCTTGTAGGTCTTAGTATGAAAACACTTTTTGATGACTTAGGATGGCTTCTGGTTGTAGTAAAGTGTTTGAAGGTGTTCATGAATGTAAGGCAAATCTTGGTTTGAGGTGGTTGGATGTCGCAATCAGTTTGGCCTGTTTTATATCTCAATAATTGAGCCTTTCCATATATGATATCATGAACAAAGCCATAAAAGTTTGTTTTCCCACATCTGCTGTTTTTTCAAACGAGTTGATGCCCTCGCATTTGTGTTATAAAGGTCTTGTGGGCTACTGGGAAGCTGTTAGCAATTGTAGATAATGAGAGAGGGAAAAGATGTTTTTCTAGTAATGACTCTACTATAGGCTGATATTGATGCATATTTCCCACTCAAGTTTTTTTTAAAAACTGGATCCAGTGAGATGGAAAAGATGTTTTGGAGTTTTCCTAGACATGGCTCAACTATAGGCTGATATTGATGCATATTTTTGCCTTATGATTAAGCTTTTTTCTTTTTTTTTGAGCTGAACGGTTGGGCTTTTTTTGACAGATTTCTTGGCTTGTTGAGATTAGTCAACACTCAATTTCATTGTAAATTGTTCCCCTGATCAGGGGTTTTGTAATGTTTCTTAAACAAAAGGAAGCGTGCACTGCACATTAAAGACACAAATAAATGTTAACATGTCCCCTTTTAATTGTCACCTGTTTTTTATGAAGGGGTTGTGTGACCCCACAATGTTTTGGCAAAGCTTGAAAAAAAAGAAGAAAAAACGTACCATTGATCTCCATTATGGCATTGAGTTGGGGGAGGGAAGACTGGTTGATTTTAGGGTTTGATTCAAGGATGTGCAGGATTTCAGTTTTGTATATCAATGAGAAATTTCTCTCAACTCATAACTCAAACTTTTTTTTTAATATTCCAGTGTCTCTGTATCCTTTAATGTATCTTGTGATAAGAAAATAAAGATTTTTTGTTTGTGGTCCTAAATGGGCAATGTGTCATGCTTCTTTACAGCAGTTACATGGGTACTGATTTATTTGCACTTGCAGTGGACCTTATTCATGGTAGACACCTTCTTTTTTCGTGAATGAAAACGAGGCTGTAAAGTGTGAACATCCAGTCGGTTTGTATAGTTGTGTGACTTTAGATGATTTAACCGATGTAATATTGAAAATGTAATATTTTTTTCCAAAAACATGCCTGTGACAAAAATGTGCTGTGAATTAAACATGATATAAAACCTTAAAACAATTCATCCTATTGCCTCGTTTTCATTTGTGAAAAAATGTAATTGTAATGACCAAAACTTTGAGTTGCGCCAAGGAATGCCAATTAAAGAAATATTAAAAAACGTAGCACATTAATATAAAATTCTATGATTTAAGGCCACATACTCGTCCAATCAGTCGAAACGTTCACATTCAAAAAATTATATTAATACCTTTAAATATAGCTAGTAAACTCGTTTGAAATATCTGCTGTCGAGGTTTGGTTGTTTCCTTTTAAAGTTATTTCACTGGCATAATTTAAGATCGTAATGGTCCATTGCTTATTGTTTGCAGGAAATGAATATCCTCATCTCAAGCCTCACAATAAGCATAATACAAAGACTCCGATCTGCACTTCACCGACAAGCGCTCAATTAACAACTCGAGGTGTGATGCGGTAATTGATACAGGATGGGCCCGTGTGTATATTCGGAGTTCGCCCTTTGAAGTCGGTTAACAAGCTACTTTTCAAATGTGTATTGCAGTAGAGCCTACAAGGCAGCGGCTATATCCCAATTTGATCAAATTCAAAACACCCACAGCAGACAAACGCATCATCACTTCAGACCGCTTCCAAATTAGATTGCCGGTCAACTACGGCAAGCCTGATTGGCTGATTCGAACGTTCACGCTTCACAGCTGATTCATATTTTAAAGGGAACGCGGGAACGGAGTCCGGGTCTGCTTTAAAACAACAGGGCGCACAGTTGTCGGTACGTGGGACTTGCCAGGCACCGGGTGTAGTCCGCGTCTTTCATCTGGGATAGAGGAACGGAGCCAAGTGTTTGTCCGGATTTCGGTCGGGTGTTTTAGTTGCTTTTAAAGTCACATTTTAAACCACAAAATACCCAGTTTTGTAAAGCAATTTAAAGCCACAGTGATGTTTGAGGTAAGTTGTTTTTGTCTTGCTTTTTTCATTGGCACCATATATGTCGAGTTATTAAAGTGTCTCAAAGAAAGTATTGAGTAACTTTTTAATAGCAGTCACTGAAATATCTAGTGTTTAGTAAATTGTAAAGTCTTTTATTTCTTAAGAGCTTTATGGTTTCTAGGCCTTGGTAATATTTACTATTAAATATTTGTTAGGGCTTCTAGGCAGTGGTAAATGGAAAAAACGTAAATAGTGTGTATATGCGCCTATAATAAATTGCTGTGGCAGTGTAATATGATTTACTGTAGCTTCTAAATAAAATGTGTTCTGGTTTCTAGGCAGTGTAGTAGTTTAATCCTTTATTATGGCTTCTGGGCAGTGGTAAAATGCACTTATCTTTGCAATCGGTAAAGGTGTTTTGTGTTCTGGTGGTTTTTCTTCCTCTTCTCTCCCTCAAGTCCTAAAAGGCTGTCTTTTTTGTTGTTGTTTTCCAGACCAGTCAGGATGACCTGTTTCTGTTCCCCACTGAAGGCCAGAATGGGGCTTTCTCCCCTGAGGAGGGTTTAGGCAGTGGGAGCTTGTCTCTTGCCGAGGCCTTGCTTCCCCTGGTTGAGTCCCCATCACCCCCAATGACGCCCTGGCTCTGCTCCACCCGCTATAAGACGGAACTGTGCAGCCGTTATGCTGAGACTGGTACCTGCAAGTATGCCGAACGCTGCCAGTTTGCCCATGGCCTCCACGATCTCCATGTACCCTCCCGTCATCCCAAGTACAAAACCGAGCTGTGTCGTACCTACCACACCGCCGGCTACTGCGTTTATGGCACACGGTGTCTCTTCGTGCACAACCTTAAAGAGCAGAGGCCCATCCGTCCCCGTTGCAGGAATGTGCCTTGCCGTACCTATCGTGCATTTGGAGTTTGCCCCTTTGGTACCAGATGCCACTTCCTGCACGTTGAGAGCGGCTCTGAATCGGACGGCGGAGAGGAGGCGCGAACCTGGCAACATCCGTCACAATCCCAAGAGTGGAAGCCTCGAGGTGCCCTCTGTCGCACCTTCAGCTCATTTGGTTTTTGTGTCTATGGCACCCGTTGTCGGTTCCAACATGGCCTTCCTAACACGATCAAAGGTCTCAACTCGAACCACACATCCTGCCCTCAGATGACCAATGGGGGATCTCTTTCACCTGCGTCCGACACGTGCTCTTCACCATCTCCACCATCCTCATCCCCTCCATCTGCGCTGGCTTCGCCGGTGTACCCTGATGGCTCTGGTCCAGTCACTCCACCGTCGGTGGAAGCAGTGGCCAACAACGCTTTCACCTTCAGCAGCCAACATCTGAATGACCTGCTGCTCCCTCTGGCCCTACGGCTCCAGCAATTGGAGAACACTTCCAATGCTGGTCCTCAATATGCTCTGGATAACCCACTGTTGTTGTGAAGTCTGTGGCATGATCCCGAAAGCTAACTGCTAGAAGCTTTATCTGTGCTTGTACTGTGCTGAATTCATATTTAACCTTTTGTTTTTATTTAGTAGTTGTGTACAGTGTCCCTTTTGCTACGTTAATTTTTAAAATGGCGTTTTTAAGACTGATTCTCAAATGTTTGCTTTTATTTTCTTCAAGTCTGTCTTGTACTTCAGAGGCCACTTATTTTTGACGGACTGAATGAAGCCCCTTAAGTGTAAATGGAGACTTTATTTTACTGGTGTGTGTACATATGAAGGATTTGACTATGAATGTTTCTAACTTAAGGATTTTTAAACTTAATGACCTTTTCTAGATTTATTTTGGAAACATGCAGCATCCTTGGATCTGAATAAAACCTCCTAAAAGGACTGGATGTGTGGTTGTCTTCTCTAATGCTTAATTACATGGTGACTGAACATTTGAAAGCTTTGTGTAAACTGCAGTTTTGGTGTGCATTTGTATGATGTCCAAGGTTGGCTATTTGGATGCTGCATTATCTCTTAGATACACCTGGAGAACAGCATTACACCTGCTGTATATTTTCTAGACTGTTTGCGGCTATGGTGCGCAAGACGTCTTACCATTCCGTCCATTAAAGGAAGGAGAGCTTTTCTTTGTAGAGGACCGGGAGATAAATCTGGTGGAGTTGGCACTTGCTACTAACATTCCCAAAGGCTGTGCAGAGACGA